ATATATATATATATATATATATATATATATATATATATATATATATATATATATATATATATAGATTGTGGTTTTTTAGGGTTTAGGGTTTAGGGTTTGGGTGTGTGTTGTGTGTGTATAGGGCGGAGCACGTGTTAGCAGTTGCAGACGAGCTGCTGCAGCGCGGTGGTTTGGAGGCTGCGCTGCGTCACTTATCTTCTTCTTCTTTGTTTTTACTTTTGGAGGTTTTGGCCGACAATATAGCTTTCAGGGGGGAGGAGAGAACCCGGCTGTCTATACACCTCATCTATACACTAATAAACCACCGACAAATTCATATCTGTACTGACACAGAAAACGCAGACACCTTCAAAACACTCATCACCAAAATATGCCAGGTATTGCACCCATGAGGGGATAGGGTTTGCGAGGGTTTAGGGTTTACGAGGGTTTAGGGTTTGGGGCTTAGGGGACGGTTTTGGCGGTGCGGGTTATGGGCGGTTAGGGTCTAGGGTTCAGGGATTACGAGGGTTTAGGGTTTAGGGTTTAGGAGGGATTAGGGTCTAGAAGGGTTTAGAGTTCGTGGATGGACGGGTCTAGGGTTTAGGGTCTAGGGTTTAGGGTCTAGGGTTTAGAGCTTGGAGTTGGGGTTTCGGGTCTGGAGTCGAGGGTTTAGGGTTTAGGGTTTAGGGTTTGGGGTGTGTGTGCAGCGCGTGGCCTTTGAGTTGGAGCAAATTCGACGGCTGGGGAGAACTGAAGCCATTGTTAATGCGCTACTCGCCCTCTAGGGTTTAGGGTTTAGGGTCTAGGGTCTAGGGTCTAGGGTTTAGGGTTTAGGGTTTAGGGTCTGCCACGCTAGGTTTTGTGGCGCTCTGAGCCGAGGGCTCCCCCTAAACCCTAAACTCGCGCCAACCGAAACCCTAAACTCTCGCTCGGAATCTGAAACCCTAAACCCTCGAGCAGGTTCTTTGGATTGAGTTTAGGGTTTAGGGTTTAGGGTTTAGGGTTTGGGGTTTGGGGTTTAAAGGGAGGGTTTGCGGTTTGGAGGATTCCAGTCGAAGACACCCAGACGAAACAATTTTCAACAAAAACTTTGCATGTTTATGCCTAGGGTTTAGGGTCTAGGGTTTAGGGTTTAGGGTTTAGGGTTTAGAATTTAGGGTTTAGGGTTTCGGGCATCGAGACAGGGTCTGTGGGGCCCCTGTGACGACGAGACTAGACTAGGGCTTTAGGGTTTAGGGTTTAGGGTTTAGGGTTTAGCGCTGCTACTATTTTAAACCCAAAGCTTTTTGTTTTAGGTTTTTGAACGTTCTTAGGGTTTACTGAGCTTTAGGGTTTAGGGTTTAGGGTTTAGGGTTTAGCTCCGCTCGGGGCTGCCGCGCTCTCCCTGTAGTGCATGGGCACTACATTGCTCAACAGTCACAGTGACGTACAGGGAACGTCGTTTAGAAAATAGAGGTCTTAGGATTCCGCAAATGAGGCATAATTAGAACTTAGTAATTT